CGCAGGGAGCACTTGACCTTTGGAAGTCTTGCTGGCTGAACTTGGCGAGTTGTCACCTGCAGCTGCTGAGATATGACGAAGTGATCCGAGCTTGCAACGAGGTCTCCCCCCGCTTCTCCCTCCTCTTATCCGACTACTTCTGCTCGTCGTTCCCCTCTCCTCCTCCGGGCTCCTCTTGGCTCTCACTCCTATGACTCACTCGTGTCCTCCCTAGGTCGTTCGAGTTGATTCGCAGAACGTCAAGGCTCTGTACAGACGAGCGATCTCGTAAGTTGAGAGAGGAGGAGGACGAGATGGAGGAAAGAAGTAGAGGCAGAAAGAGAGGCAGAGGAAGGATGAGAGAATCCGGCATAGAGGGGAAGGACATGGAGGAGGGAGTAGAGAGATGTACATGCGTATTGCTGTGTTTGGATGCAGAGGGTAAGAGTGAATTGAGGACAGGGGAGGAGGAGGAAGGAGGAGGGGGGGTGATGAGGAGCGGGGGAGAGGAATGGGGAGAGGGAGTGGAGCGAGGAGGACAGGAGGGAGCAAGTTGATGACGTCGCTGCAGCTTCAGGGAGCTCGCCGTCCTCGCGTCGATGAACGGGCGGGTGGAGGAGGAGCTGACAAACTTGCGAGAGGCAATGAGAGACATCGAGGCAGCAGGGAGCATGGAGCCGCGGGACGAGACGATCCTCCTGGCAGCGAAGCAGATCAGAGGCATGTTCGAGAAACTCAAGGAGCAGGAGGAGGAGAAGGCGTTCGAGAAGGAGCTCGAGACTTGCAAGCCTCCTCCGCTGTCGAGGCATCCCCAAGCAGGAGGCATCAGAGGAGGGCGAGGAGGAGGGGGAGGGGAGGGAGGACAAGGACGAAGTTCTCAGTGAAGGTGTATTGCTCTCACAAGATGCCTGCTCCTCTAGCTGTACATGTCATCCTCCTCCTGGGGCGCAGGTGGAACGAAGGGATTACTCAGCTCCTGCTGGCGGTACAGGTGGAGGTGGCGGGGATGGACGGCCTTGAGGTAGGAGTCGGAGAAGCCCAGCTGCCTGCTTGCCTCCTCTACCTGCGCGTCTCTGTCGCGATCAAACGCCTCCCTCATGGCCTCCTCCTCCTCCTCCTCCAGCCCCTCTGTCCACTCGCTCTCTCCCCCGCTCACCCCCGTCCCAGATGGCTGAGCTGGGAGCTGAGCTAGGAGCTGAGCTAGTGACTGAAGAGAGGGCTGAGCTGGGGGCTGAGCTGAGGGCTGAAGAGAGGGCTGAGCTGAGGTCTGAGCTAGGAGCTGACTTGGGAGCTGAGCTGAGGTCTGAGCTGGGAGCTGAGCTGAGGGCTGAGCTGGGGGCTGAGCTGGGGGCTGAGCTGGGAGCTGACCAGGGAGCTGAGCTGGGAGCTGAGCTGGGGGCTGAGCTGGAGAAAGCTGAGAGATTGTGAGTGAGAGCCGGGCAGGAGGCAGGGGAGGCACCTGGGCAGCTCGAGAGGGTCGGAGAGAGTTGAAGGCGTCATGGACGCAGGCGACGAGGAAACAGTGAAGGTCCTGGCGAGACGGGAGGTTCTGAAAGAAAGTGAGATGAGAGTAAAAAGAGAGAGAGAGGGAGAGAGGGAGGGAGAGAGAGTAGGAGAGAGGGAGGGAGGGAGACAGAGAGGGAGACAGAGAAGGGGTGGGGGAGGGAGGGAGGAAGGGAGGGAGGGAGGGAGGGAGGAAGGGAGGGAGGGAGG